GACTGAGGCGGCCCACAAAAACATGACTGAGTCATTTTTTTTCACACTTTGCCTGCTCATAGGCCCTCCACAGTCCCAAATGTACATAATCAAATGATTAAAAACTTGGTTTTGCATAACATGTCCCCTTTAAATAAACTGAGCTGGACGTTTAATGACCAGGTTTGGGAAATACTGGACTAGGCTTTTACTGATCCGATATCTGGACCCATATTTGCAAAAAAAATGCGTATCGGCCAACAGGAAAAAATGAAGATCCAGAATCCAGATCCTTTTTTTTAAAAGTCTGATCCCACATTAGAATTAGCATTAGCATCTGTAACCCAGAGGTCTGTGTCCTAACCATTAAGTTGTTATCAGAGTTATTTTTTTCACACTTTGCCTGCTGATAGGCCCTCCACAGTCCCAAATGTACATAATCACATGATTAAAAACTTGGTTTTGCATAATATGTCCCTTTAAATAAAGGGTTAACCACAGTCAGAGGAGGGAATTGTGTGTTTTCCGAGGCCCTGAACGTCTCCCTGTGGTCTGGTCCAGGTGTGGGGGGACGAGCAGTCGGACTTCGTTTGCAACACCCAGCAGCCCGGCTGCGAAAACGTCTGCTACGACCTCGCCTTCCCCATTTCCCACGTCCGCTTCTGGGTGCTGCAGATCATCGCCATAGCAACGCCCAAGCTGCTCTACCTGGGCCACGTCCTCCACGTGATCCACGTGGAGAAAAAGGTGGGGGAGCTCAAACTGACCTAAATGGACAAAAAACATTCAATTCCGTCTGGCTGCAGACTGCAGGAAGCCAAGGATGGATATCCAAGTCCGCCCACATCAAAGTCGGCCATTTTGATTAGGTCACCAATAGGAAGATCCCAGGCAAGAAAATCCTAATTGCTTCATGGCAATATAGACATTCATTTAAAAATAGTTAAATGAATCTTGCAGACTCTGAATTAAACTCTATCCATAATATTATATTAAAATAGTGGATGTTAAATAGGTTTGTACGATAAGTCCAAACAAGCTTAGCCAAAAAATATTTATTTCTCACAATTATGAAGGGTTAGGGTCAGTAATCTGGGCCAAGGGCCGAGGCAGATGGCCGCCCACCCCGAGCCATGGTTCTGCTCCAGGTTTCTGCCTGTTAAAAGGAAGTTTTTCCTTGCCTGTGTCGCCTAGTGCTTGCTCATGGTGGGAATTGTTGGGTTTCTGTAATTAACTTCAGAGTAGGGTCTGACCTGCTCTGTTTGGAAAGCGCTGTGAGATGACTGTAGTTGTTATGTGGCGCTATATAAATAAAATTGAATTTAATTTAATTGAACCCCAGGTGTACACAATAGGTAATCAACACATGACAAGACCACAGACATTCCCCCAGACGTGACATCCTGACATCCTGGTTCTTTTGGTCTTAACAATGGCAGCTGAAGGAGGGGTTGAAGAACCGTGAGGATCTGGATGACCAGACCAGGCTTGTTGAAGGAGATGTCCATATTGCTGTTAGACCAGCTCTTCCTTTAGAGGGCGTAGATGTTATCTTAAGGAATGAATCAGAATCAGAATCAGAATAAGGTTTATTGCCAACTAGGTTTTTGACTTACAAGGAATTTGCCTTGGTGTTTGTTGAGAAGTAAGGAAATACAATGTAGAAATAAAAATATAGAACAGAAAATATAAAACTAAAAAGTACAATCTTTAAAAATATAGGTCTGAGAATAGAAATATGGATATAAGACTCATTAACTCATTGACTGCCAGAGTTTTTTTAGCATTTTGACTGATTTTTCAAGAGCCACAGAATAGTTTGTGCTATGACTATGTAAACACCAAACACACCAAAAGAAAGAGTAGACTCTCTTCTTTCATCAGGAAAGTTGTTACCTCCTCTCCGCAACTGAGTCCTCCCTGAGATCCCATTTCCTGACATCCTGGTTCTTTTGGTCTTATCAATGGCAGCTGAAGGAGGCGTTGAAGAACCGTGAAGACCTAGACGACCAGACCATCCTGTTCCCATGGACTTTAGTGAATGAGGGGCCAAAATTTGGACTGTATTATTCGTCTGTTTGTCCCTGTGTGAGTGTGTGTGTGTGTGTGTGTGTGTGTGTGTGTGTGTGTGTGTGTGTGTGTGTCCTTGTTGCTGCATCAGAGTGAGGGCCATAACCAACAAAGTAAGGTATTTTTTGGAAAGTGAGGACATTTTCCTGGTCCTCACTGGTTCTTTTGTCTTCTCCCCCTTATCAATGGCAGCTGAAGGAGGGTTTGAAGAACCGTGAGGATCTGGACGACCAGACCATCCTGTTCCTTCGTCGGACCTACAAATTCCCGAAGTACACCAAACCCAGCGGGAAGATCAGCCTCCGCGGGCGTCTCCTCCAGAGCTACGTCCTGCACCTGGTGGCCGAGGTCCTTCTGGAGGCGCTGTTCGTGGGGGGGCAGTACTTCCTGTACGGCTTCACCCTCCAGCCCCGCTACGTGTGCGCCCGTTTCCCCTGCCCCCACCGGGTGGACTGCTTCCTGTCCCGGCCCACCGAGAAGTCCCTCCTCATCTGGTTCATGCTGGCGGCGGCCTGCGCCTCGCTGGCGCTGGGCGTGGCCGAGCTGCTGTACCTGTGCGTGCGGGCGGCCAGGGAGGGCGTGGCCAGGAGGCGGGACTACACCGTGACCCCCCTGACCCCGCCCGGATCCCGGAAAAGGGCCGGGAAAGGGGGGCGTCGACCGGGCGCCAACGGGGCGGCCGGGGGCGTTAACGGGGCCGGGGAGGGCGTCAAAACGGGCGCCAACGTGGGGGAGATCCACATCTGAGGCCGGTGTGTGTGTGTGTGTGTGTGTGTGTGTGTGTGTGTGTGTGTGTGTGTGTCCTTGTTGCTGCATCAGAGTCAGAA